AAATACAGGCATATGAGTAGATACACTCCTTGGAGAGAACAATCATGGGAGAAAGAAGGGCTGCTTATGCACAGGGAGACAGCTCAGGAGGCAGGGGTGTATGGAGGGATGGACACAGGGAAGAGGTAACTATGGGGAGGAAGTAGAGGGGAGCTGTTGCATTGTGGTAAAGTGAGGTCAATGACATGAGACAAAGTATATGTGAACTGCTGTATGCAAAGTGAATTTGCTCTGTAAATCTTCACCCAAATCACAATAAAAAAAAAGAAAAAGAAAAAAGCCTTTAATACCATCAGCATGATGCCTAAATCTTGTTTTTAAGCAGAAAATGCATTCTTAAAAAGGTTTATAGAAAGTACCTTGTCATAACAAGAATTTCACTGTAAACATACATAGAAAATGTCCTATTAAAATTGGGTAGGTAAGGAGCTATGGTGGTGCAATGGCTAAGGCATTTGCCTGATAACCAGAAGGCTGGTGGTTCAAACCCACCAGCCACTCTCTGGAAGGAAGTTGGGGCGATCTAATTCTGTAAAGATTTACCACCTCAGAAACCCAATGGGGGTTACATGAGTCAGAATTGACTCAATGGCAGTGAGTTGGGTTTTTTCGAGAATTGGGTAGAACCTTTTATTAATGAAAGTTCTAATGATGTAGTGTTTAAGGCATTTGGCTGCTAACCAAAAGGCTGGCAGGTCAAACCCACCTGCCACTCCACAAAAGAAAGATAGGGCAGTCTTCCGTAAAGATTTACAGCCTTGGAAAGCCAATGGGGGTCACTAGGAGTCGGAATCAACTCAATGGCAGTGAGTGTGGTTTTTGGTTTTCATTAAGGAAAAATCTTTGCCATGTGAATAATCATTCTTTTATTACATACTAAAGTACAAGTCCTAAATATCATCTTTTCCTAAACACCCTTTCCTATACATTTCTCCCATCCCTATTCCCATACTCCATTATTACACCAAATTATACCAAATAGTTTTAGACATTTTAATCTTACAGTCTAATATCAAACTCAAGGATAAAGTTAGCTTCATTTTTAAAAACTGAAAAGGTGGTTTTGCGTCTTGAACGAAGCACCTTACCAGGTCGGCCACTCTGCACAAGGAATCGGACAGCTCATCAAAAATGGACACGGTCAGCGGCCCCGGCAGGGTCTTGCACGCCAGGTCCATGAGCACTTTCGTTTTTTTCAAGGCGTTTTCTTGTGCAACACGAAATCCTTCTGGGGCACTAAGCTCAGGAACTCCAAAAAGGCCCTAAAATCCAAAGCACATTTCCAGTTGACAACCAACCGTGGGATCCATGTGAGCATTACACGAATTAAATTCCTTTTTATGTGCTGGGCACTGTTACGATTTTTTTGTATATGTCTAGCTCATTTCATCCTCCCATCTGCTGTATGAGGGAGGTCCTGTAGTCGTAAGCACCAGAGCTGGATCTTGGACTCGTTTCATTACAGAGCATCACATAGAAAGACTTGCCCATGCGGGACATCTTGGTTTGTTGTTGTGTCACGTAATAACCCACCTGTGATCACGGCTGTGACGTCCACATTCCCGACACGTCGCTCCACATCAGTGAGACCAAACACAATGATTTAGGAACATACCTTCTCTTCAACTGGGAATTATTTTATCAAAGACAAAAAGAACAATGGAATGAAATGGGTCCAAGATCCAGCTCTTACTCTGATGACTACAGGACATACCTCATAGAGCAGGTCGGAGAATGAAATGAGTGAGATGTGTAAAAAATATCGTAATAGCACCCAGCATGTAGAAAGGAATTTAATAGCTGTCATCTGTAATCAGTATTGGGAATGGAAGCCTGGCCAAGTTATATACACTCATAGGCCTCAATGTGTCCACCAGGTACAATGGTGACTACCTGGTATCTACCTATCTCACAGCATGGGTACAGGTCCTAAGCTAGACAATGTATGAAGGCACTCAGGACAATGTCTGGTATACAGTAAGGTTCGGTGTACAGCACCAATTATCCCACCATGTCACACTAGGGAGGATGAGGTCATTACCACGTATATAGCTCTTTTGTTGTTGTTGTTAGTTGTGGGAAGTTGATTCCACCTCATGGCAGCCCCACGTGCGACAGAGCAGAACTGCTCCCTAGGGTTTGGTTTGCTATCATCTTCACAGAGGGAGATCACCAGGCCTTTTCTACCATAGTGCTGCTTGTGGGTTTGAACCACCAACCTTGGGGCTAGCAGTCAAGCACAAACCATTTGAGGACCTTAGGAAAGACTTAAATAAACAAATTAAACCAAGTCATAGGCTGAAACTGGGAGCCAATTTTACAGTTTCCTAAGGTGTTGTACCTTGACAAGGATTAAAATGATATCCCTCACTCTAACGGGGACTGCTCACTGCTTTTACCGTTCCTCTGTACCAGTTCAACCACCCTTGTTGTAGCACACAGGAAAGCAGATAAAACCATCCAAACATCTAATATGCACCTACTGCATGCCAAGCCATGACCTACAGGTTCTCTTATTTAAACGCACAATCCTACAGCAAAGACTATCATTGTCATTTCAGAGATAGGGAAACACACTTTAAGAAGTTAAAAAACTCGCTTGATGTCACCAAATAACAGTGGGAAAGCCAGAAATGGAACCTGCTTTGCCCAGGTATACCTCAGACATATTGTGGGTTCGGTTCCAGACCACAGCAATAAAGTGGATATCGCCATAAAGTGAGTCACATGAATTTGTTTCCCAATAATAGGAAAGTTATGTTGACACTATGTTGTTGTTGTTGTTGTTATGTGCCGTCAAGTCAGCTCCAACTCATAGCGACCCCTCCTTGGGTTTCCGAGGCGGTATCACTACGGAAGTAGGAATGCCCAACCTTCCTTCCAAGGAATGGCTGGTAGGTTTGAACCGCCAGCCTTCTGGTTAGCAGTCAAGTGCCTTAGGCACTATGCTACCAGAGCTCCTATGTTCACACTATGTTGTTGTTGTTGTTATGTGCCGTCAAGTCGGCCCCGACTCATAGCGACCCCTCCTTGGGTTTCCGAGGCAGTATCACTACGGAAGTAGATTGCCCAACCTTCCTTCCGAGGAGTGGCTGGTGGGTTTGAACCGCCAGCCGTCTGGTTAGCAGGCAAGTGTCTTAGCCACTATGCTACCAGAGCTCCCCTATGTTCACACTATAGTGTAGTCTATTAAGTAAACAATAGCATGATGCAAAAATTTGAAACAGTGTTAGAATAATATGACAGAGACATGAAGGAAGCTCACACTGCCAGAAAAAATGGTGCCGATAGACTGGCTCGATGCAGGGTTGTCACAAAAAGTCTTCAATGTGTAAAAAGTGCATTGTCTGTGAAGCGTAAGAAAGCAAAATTCAATACAATGAGGTGTGCCTGTATGCCACTAAGCTCCATTTTTTTCCCTTCATCTGTACTGGAATTTGTCTGTTTGGTTTTCTCTGCTCGAGTTGACAACAGCTAACATGCTCTACTACTAACAGAAAGGTGAGCAGTCTGAGTCCACCCAGAGGTCCCTCAGAAGAAAGGCCTGGTGACGAGCTTCTGAAAAACCAGCCTATGGAGCCATGGAGCATAGTTCTCTCTGACACACATGGGGTCACCCTGAGTTGGAACTGACTCAACAACGGGTGTCTGGTATTCAGTAGGCAAACTCCGAGAGGCAGGAACCCTGTCCTTCATCTCTTCTAAACAGCTGCTCAACACTGTGCCTAGCACACAAAAGGAACTCAATACAACAACAACAAACTCACAGAGATGTTCAGATTTTTAGACAGACACATTTTCGGAAATGCCAACATGTGAAATGTTCACCCTGATCAGCCCTACTGCTTCTGCAAGATGGGCTTAGTGAAGTTAACCTCTTTTCAAAATATACTGAGAAGCTGAAGAGAAGAAATGAAAGACAGCTGGAGGCAAAGTAGAATCGGGACCAGAGTTCAATTTGACCTGTAAACGGATTTCATCTCCTTTAAGCACTGACCACTTCCACTTTACAATACAACTTCCCCATACTGGGATAGAGAATCACAGACCACCAGTCACAGTCATGTGGTGGTGTAGTACCTAAGACACTTGACTGCTAACCAGAAGGCTGGCAGTTCAAACCCACCAGCCACTCCTCAAAAGGAAGGATGGGCAATCAACGTCCATAGAGATACGCCTCGGAAACCCCAGGAGGGGTCGCTATGAGTCAGAAACAACTCGAAGGCAGTGAGTTTGGTTTTTGATTTTTGGTATATAAACACTATTTGCTCCTGAGGCAAAAACCAATTCAAGTATTAGAAAATCTGCTACCAGCACTTAAAATCACAGTGACCAAAGAAAAAAGAGGTGAAATTACTTGTATTTCATGCAAAAAAAAAAAAACCAAGCTCATCCTTCACGCCATTCTGTTGAGTGCACACAGGTAACTTTTCTCCTCCTCACCTCAATTATAGTAATGCAAATATAACCTACCCAGATTATGCTGATACTTGGCTTAGTATGTTTCATACAAAAAAAAATTTTAAATCGATGAGAATAAAATAATGAACACACTATTTAGCTTACTACAACCATGTCATAAACCCAATACCCAAGCCCACTGCCATGGAGTCAATTCCTAATCACAGAGAGTATAATTGTCCCATAGGGTTTCCAAGGCTGTCAATCTTTTTATGGAAGCAAAGCCCAAACTAAACCCACTGCCAGCGTAGTTGATTCTGACTCACAGCGCCCCTAGAGGACAGAGTGGAACTGCCTCATATGGGTTCCAAGGCTGTAATCTTTACAGATGCAGCGTGCCTCATCTTTCTCCCATGGAGTGGCTGGTGAGTTCCAAGGCCAACCTTTAGATCAGCGGCCCAGCATTTAACCACTGCACCACCAGAGATCCTTCAACCATATCACTGAATTCCTGTTTATAAGAAACATAATAGTAGAAGGAAGAAACAAAAAGCAAAATTAGTCAATTCCAACTCATAACACCCTCTACTGGGTTTCCAAGGCTGTGTATGTCTTTACTGCCTCATCTTTCTCCCATGAAGCAGCTGGTGACTACAAACCACCAACCTTTTGCTTAGCAGCCAAATGCCTGAACCACTACACCACCAGAGCTCCTTAACCCTAACCTAGAATGGACAAACATCCACATATGCAAAGTAAAACAGTGAGTCCTACTCAAGATCCCTTCCCATGCCTTCTTCACGAGTGACTTCCTTTCTTCTTTCATTCATTCATTCAACAATCATTGAGTGCCCATTGAATGCCAGACACACGCTAGGCAGTGTGGATATGGAAATAAGATTTCAGTCTAGTGCCTTCCCGTGGGAAGAAATTCTCGTTAACAGCATCCCACTACAGGAAATTGGACTCCTCTCAGCAGTTGTGCATTTTAAAAGAAAGACTGAGAAATAAATTAATGAGTGATGGAATTTTGACTATTACACACTGAAAGTAAATGTGTTCTTGCAAGAATATGGAATGTGAAATCACCAGGCACGCCCTCTCAAGACAAGTACAGTTTAGAGCAAAAGCGTAGACTTCAGAGGGAGGGGGTGTGAGTGTGAGGAGAGAGCTGGACCCTGCAGACCGAATTCCACCGCCGCGAGGAACGATTTTAAGTTCACATGGCCCCAAGGGACTCACGCAGAGGCAGCTCCTGGTCCCAACACTCTGGGCAGGGGTCACTACAGGCCTCTCTGTTCCAAACCCAGAGCTGATCACTGTGGATACCACAGTGCAAGTGAATTCGCTGCCCGGGCTCCTCCCAGGCCCGAATAACCCCCCTCGGAATTCCACCGGCCCGTAGAGAAGGCGGCAGGCTTCCGGATGACCAGAGGGCGCCCTCTCCCGCGCCGCTCACCCGGCGCTCGCCGAACAGGTCCAGACCGCGGCCCTGGGGTTTGACATTGAAGGCGGCGCCCACCGGGGACCAGCTGGTGCTGACCCCTCGGGCCCGGCTCCCGGCTACGAGGCAGCAGCGCCCAGCGTGCAGCAGCTGCAAAGCTGCTGCCGGAGCTCGGAAGCCGCACAGCCGCCCAGCGCACAGCATCTTTTACCCTGCCGGCGCCGCAGCTCCCACCGGGAGCGCGCTCCGCGTTTCCAAGGCAGCGGCTCACGCTGAGACACGTGACGCCCCACACTCCCAAGTCTAGGAGTGCGTCCCCCAGGACGTGGGCACGTCGACGTCCCCAGGGCAAGAGCGTCGTCTGCCGCCATCTCGGCCCCAGCTACGGTCTCGCGCCCCCGTGTGCCTGGAATAAGGAATTACTACTGTGTGTCGTGATGTCCCACATGAGCTGAGCCTGGCTGGCCAAGCCTGACCTGTTCTAATTCCCATGCCCAGAGGGTAATCAGAGAACGCAGCCGCGTGAGTCATCGCTCCTTTGTCCCGCGCGATTTAATGATAAAGCCTGTGGTCGAACCCAGTCAAATAAATGCACATTTCAGTGAATCTGTCTCCACTCTAAAAGATGGTTTAAATTAAATATATGGTGTGAAGGCACTTGACTGCTAACCAGAAGGTTGGCGGTTCAAACCCACCAGCCACTCCTCAGAAGGAAGATGGGGCAATCTACTTCCATAGTGATACCTCCTCAGAAACCCAAGGAGGGGTATCTATGAGTTGGGTCCAACTCCACAGCACATAACAACAACAACAACAACAACATGGTGTGACTGCATGTCAGAGTTACAATTGTGTGTAACCAAGTAATCTTACAGTTTATCTTCTTTATCTATTTTAACTTCTATAATTATCATAAACACAGTCTAAGTATGAAACTACAGAATGAACTTTGTTGTTATTGTTGTTGTTAAGTGCCAGCCATTCCATTTTGTTTCATAGCGATGCCATGAGACAGAGTAGAACACCCCATAGCGTCTTCTAGGCTGTAACCTTTATAAAAGCAGATTGCCAGTGACATACTACACAAAAACATTGTTACGCATCCTACTTTGGCGAGTAGGGACTGGGATCTTAAAAGCTTGCAAGCAGCCATCTAGATGCAACGATGATGGGTCTCTCCTTGTCCAGAGCAAAGAAGAATAAAGAAAACCAAAGATGCATGGAAACAATTAGTCCAAGGGACTGGTAGACTGTGCGATCTTCATCCTATGTGACCTTGAGACCAGAACTACATGGTGCCTGGCTACTTCTGTCAACCACTTGGAGGGGAATCTCTGTAGGAGATCCTGGATAGAGTGGAAGAACAATGTGGAACAAAACTCAAAATTAGACCAGGCTTGCTGGTCTGATAGAGCCTGGTGAAACCCCTGAGACTATGGCCCCAAGCTGCCCTTCAGGCTGGAATTGAACTCACTCCTATGGCTTCCAGCCAAATAAAAGACCAGCATATGGGCTGAACATTTACATCAGGTAGATACACTCCTTGGAGAGATCAATCATGGGAGAACAGAAGGTAGTGTTTGCACAGGGAGACAGCTCCAGGGGGCAGGAGTGCATGGGAGACACAGGCAAGACGTAACTATGGGGAGGAAGTGGGAAGAGAACTGTTACATTGTGGGAAATTGAAGTCAAGGTCATGAGACAAACTGTGTATCAACTACTATGGAAAATGAATGTGCTCTGTAAACTTTCACCCTAAGCACAGTAAAAATTAAAAAAAAAAAAAAAAGTAGATTGCAAGGCCTTCCTTCCATGATACCACTGTCAATGCTTAACTATTGGTACTAATGCTTAACTATTGGTACCAATGCTTAACTATTGTGCCACCAGTATAAACTTGTAGAGGGAAAATTCCACCAAGCTTCAATCAACAATGAACAAAAAGATTTGGGCAAATGAAGGGTGAGCTCTGGTAGCACAGTGCCTAAGGCATCTGACTACTAACCAGAAGGCTGGCAGTTCAAACCTACCAGCCACTCCTCAGAAGGAAGACTGGGCAATCTACTTCCATAGAAATACCGCCTTGGAAACCCAAGGAGGGGTTGCTAAGAACAAAAAGATTTGGGAGAATGAAAGGGATGAGGCATAAAGAAATTTTGAATTTTGAGACTAGAATGGTTTGTGGGATGGTGCTGCTATGGGGGAGAAAAAAAAAAAAAAAACCAACCCTCTGCCACCAAGTCAATTCCAACTCATAGCGACCCCCATTGGATTTCCAAGATGGTCAGTCTTTATGGAAGTAGATTGGTGGGGGGCATGATTTTGGAGCTGAAGCTTGGAGGTGAGGTGTGGCTGCAGGTGACTATGAATAATAATAGCTTTCCAAATATTTCCCCACCCTTTTCCATAGCCCCATCTTCCTTCCAACACACAGTGAACCCACATGAGTTAGAGTAGAACTGTGCTCCATAGAGTTTTCAATGGCTGAATTTTTTGGAACGAGATCACCCACTGCCCAGCAGAGTATGGCTCCTGTGGTAGTTAAGGTTGTATGTCAACTTGGCTGGGCCTGGTTGAGTGGCTGGGCAGATGAGACTGGCAATCAACTCCATGGTGGGATCTGCCACAAGCAGCTGAGTGGCTGCTTTAGGGATGTGGGCTGCTTCTCGTTTATAAAAAGCAGCTTTGGGAATGGTCTCCAGCTTCTGGCACGCTTGACTCCTGCATGGAGCCGAGTCATTGTTCAGCAGCCTGCCATGTTGACCTGCCAGTCTTGGGACTCTTAATGGACTTGAATGAATGCCCTGCCATGTGGTTTGGTAATATTGGGACTGTGCCTTTTTCACTTGTCGACCTTGGGTTTGTCAGCCTCAGCAGCCAGCAGCTGCCTGAGTGAAGAGACGCCTCCAGCTTCAGTGGGCCGGGAGCAGGAGGCAGAGCTGAAGCCCAAGGTTGAGGGGCTTTCCCTCAACCCCTAGAGCCTGGCACCTGGCACTCGGACTTCCAACCTCCAAAATTGGAAGAGAATAAACTGCTGTTTGTTAAAGCCATCCCATTGGTGGTGTATTCCTGTCAGAGCAGCACCAGGTAACCAAAACAGCTCCTTAGAGTATTCACATGGGAGCACAGCTCTTCGCAAAGCCACACACATGCAAGGGGTTCATCAGATAATGGGCACGAAGACAAGTAGGAAACAAATTATAAGGAACAACACAAGCATTTGTCAATTTATTCTTGGAAAGATGGGAAGTTTCATAAAATCAGTTGCAGGGATAACTTCCCTGTTCTCGCTTTGGTTTGGTTATGGCAGTCTTTAGGGCAATTAGTGTTGCAAACATCTAATGGCTTCTTCATCAGGCTGATTCTGGTGATGGCCGGGTGGGTCCGTCACCCCTCTCAGTCATGGTCACAGTCAGGAGCTGGGGAACAGTAGGAAGCCTGTGAACGTAGTGTCGTCATCTTCATCTGCAAACAAGCCATTGAACCTCTCTCCTCCTGTCACCTGCATCCACACCTCATCTCCAAGCTTCAGCTCCAAAACCGTGCCCCCGGATGCCTGGTCCTCAGAGCTCAAGTAACCGTCCTTGGTATGCAGAACTTTCACCCCGTTTCTGACCAAAGACACCTGCACATTCCTGGAAAACACCGTGATGTGGTAGGTGAAGTAATAGACCCCGGCAATGTGGCAGGTGAACTTCCCAGTGGCCACGTTGAAGTGGTTGAATTCATTGTACAGGATCCTGTCAAATTTGATGGGTAGATCTGAAGAAGGAAACTTGCTCAACACGGTGAGCCCCACAGTGAAGGCACTTTTGGGCAACACGGGCGTCTCACCAATTTTCCCTTTTTCTCCTCTATCGCCTTTCCAGCCTCTCATTCCTCGGACTCCTGGCTCACCCTGGGGCCCCAGGGGCCCAGCATCTCCCTTGGGACCAGGCTTTCCAAGGGGGCCAATAGGGCCACGTATGCCAGTTGGACCCACAGGTCCAGGGCTGCCCTGTAAGCCTTCTGGCCCAGTGGGCCCCACTTCACCCTTATTTCCCTTTTGCCCTTGAGGGCCAGTCTCTCCTCTGAGGCCTTGCTCTCCCATGGAACCGACAAGTCCCTTTGGGCCGTGCTTCCCAGGAGGTCCTCTTGAACCTGGTTCACCTTTCATGCCTTTTGCCTCCACTCTTCCATCTGCTCCTACATGGAGAAAGGGAGGGTAACAGAAGAGATGACCATGAAACATGACCTTGTGGGAAACAACTCTTGTTTCTTATTGTTGAACATACGAATGACACAAAGTGTAGTATGTTGTTGTTGTTAGGTGCCATCAAGATGGCGCCAACTCATAATGACCCTACGTCCAACAGAACAAAACACTGCCCAGTCCTGTGCCATCCTCACAATCTTTGCAATGCTTGAGCCCATCACTGCAGCCACTGTGTCAATCCTTCTCACTGAGGGTCTTCCCCTTTTTCTCTGACCTTGCACTTCACCAAGCATGATAGCCTTCTCCGAGGACTGATCCTTCTGACAACATGACCAATAATATAGGCTCAAAAGAAGAATGAAGAAAACCCAAATTCAGGGAAACAATTAGTCCTAGCGACTGGTACACCATCTGATCTGCAGCCTATAAGACTATGAGACCAGAAGAACTAGATGGTGCCCGGCTACCACTGTCATCCACTTGGAGGGGGATCTATGTAGGAGATCCTTGATATTGGGGGAGAACAATGTGGAACAAAACTCAAAATCATTTGGAGAAAAAAAAAAAGGGGGGGGGACCAGGTTTGCTGGTCTGATAGAGCCTGGTGGAACCACTGAGACTATGGCCCCTAGCTTCCCTTCAGGTCTGGAATTGAACCCACACCTGCG